TTTATATTGATATTTTCTTTAAGAATCACATTTTGGCGATTACGAGTGGGAAGTGACTGGTCCTGAGCAGCAAAAGGAAGCCCTCAGTTTCACATTTGAGACCAGCCGACTTCATCCAGGCGACGGGGTCGGTGGGGTTGCTATTCTGTTCCACACACTGCATGTACACAAGATGTAATGGCTTCTCAGAAAGCCTCTCCACAAAAGACCGACTCTGGGCAGACTTGGTGAAGGACTTCACCTGGTTTACTCCCATCGCTGTACCGTCCAGCAGTACATCGCCATCAACAAAATCAACCTGAAATTTCAGATTCTGTCCAACAACCTTGGCACGCTTAAAATAGCTGTGGAAATCCTTGCTTTCAGCATGAGTCCTGACATGCATCATCAGAGGATCATCCGATAAATAAATATGTGCAAAAGTACACAAAAGATTCTATCATTAAGGGCCTCCACATTAATCAAACCCCGACCTCCAGAATTGATTGGCATGTATAAACGGTTGAGAGAAGAACGAGGGTGGTGGGCTCTGTTATCAGACATGATCCTACTGGTCAGGCGGTCAAAACTCTGAATGTCTTGTTTTGTCCAATCAACTACTCCAAAAGAATAGGAGAGGACTGGCACAGCAAAAGTATTGGTGGCCTTGACCTTGTTTCGAGCATTTACCTCTGAGCTCCAGATTTTCTTTAAGCGAGATTTGTACTCGGCCCGAAGTTTGTCTTGCATTTGGGCTTTCTGGAGCTTGTCTCGAACTTGCATTCCAAGATGTAGGCCTGATCTTCCACATGATGCTCAATAACTCCTCCCCCCTGTAACTTGACCGATCCACCATTAACTACCTTGCCACGTTTCAAATGTAGAGTATTACATTTGTCGAGTCCAAATGTCATGCCAATATCATTAGAAAAGGACTCGACAAGGAGAACCTGCTCTTTCAAATTGGTATCTCCTTTGGCAAGGAGCTCGATGTCATCCATGTAAAGAAGGTGAGTAAGCGGTGTTGGGGATCTGCGCTGAGGAGGTCCGGGATGGTAACCCTCCTCTCTGTTGAGCAGAAAGCTCAAAGGACTTAGAGACAAACAAAAAGGCAAAGGACTGAAGGAGTCCCCCTAGAAAATTCCCCTTCTGATTGGAATAGATTCCGAAGTCTACACCTGCCCTTGCGAGTACATCTCAAGTTGAGTCGACCAGCAACTCATTAAAGACTTATTATTATTATAGGATATTTAGATAGCGCATATATCCAGGCAGCTAGTGCATGCTCATGGCGCTGGTATTTTGTCCCTCGATCATTGGATATCAATCTCAATTGCACATCGTATTATCAGTCTTATGCAACATACATTTATAAGCTTTTAAATGCCAATTCTTAAATGATGTGTTTATGTAATTAAAGGTCACATGCAACGCAAAACACAACTTTGCAGATTCTGATACCTTTCGGTATGGACTTACAGTAACAAATTATCAAAAATGCAAATTCAACTTATAAAGTTGAAAAATAACGCGATGAAAAAAACCCCGCGAAATTGTTGTTCAAACGATTCACTATTTTCACCCCAGCGCTGGGGTTTCCAACCACGCAGTAGTTCACCATCTCAGTATTTGTTGACTGGATCGAACTCAAATGGAGAGAGCATGTATTTACAAAACCGAACATCTCTATACACATTCTTGCTTGACAACGGTATAAGAATCCATACCGAAACGTCGCATCATATACAATAAAAGAAGTTGTTATCCATAAAGAATCTTACTTTCTTATTACTCACCATACTTCTAAAATGCCAATCAAACAGATCATCTCTGTATACACACACACAATGAGCCCTCAGGGTATCGGCAAATGAACTAGCCAATGAGAGACTTCGTTATACTTGAGTGCACACCCACCCGCTCTGACTGGGTTCGGTCTCCCGGGTGCTTCGTTTCGAGGGGAGTAAACCCAAGTACAAAATATTGCACTTTTGATTCGCGATGGTACGCTTATAATTTTGTTTATTTGTTTTTTCACAATCAGAAATGTATATTATATGTAATGAATAAGTGATAATTGTGTTTTAATTATGTTTGTTTGTTGGTTGCATGTGACCTTTAAGTATTAGAAAACATTTTTTGCCACTAAATGTAATTTGAAGTTCTATCCAATAACACTCTAGAAGAACGTCAACTAAATACTGAAAAGAGAGGATATATGAATGGAAAATTGTAAACAATGAAATTGTTAAGATACCCAGTCATTTACTAATAAGAGTTATTTTGATGCATATATGAGCACACTTGCTCAGTACTACATGTTAATCATGCATATGTTCAGGGAAACAAAGAGAAAAGGTCGTCGAGAAGATAGAATATACTAATATATGTAGATATTACAGATTATATCTGTTTGCGGCTCCAGATTACCTGGGCACTACCCAAAGGTGCTTCATTGTAATTTCCTTTTAGGTATCAGTGGTATCTATATGCGAGAACGAGAATATGACCCAATTCAGTCATACATCTACACATCCACATCAGTCATTTAATTTTGCTTCCCGTCGAGGCGTCCAACCAGGTCTTTCGATAAACAAAGTGAAGTTAATCGGGCATTCTTGAAGTCCACTGTGCCAAAACGTGTGAGATGTGAGGTGAAATGTAACGCATCTCCAGACGGGTTTCAATATCTAATTCCATATTGATATCATTTCGACGGAGAGCATTACAAAAGTGTACAGAAGGTCAGCCTCGTGTGACGAAGGGCCACGCAACATTGACAGAGGGTCAAAACTAGATAAGCAAGTAATCATTTCCCGAACACCAAGAGCAGAACTGTGCCGACTTCTTTGTGAGGTAGCAATATGTTACATACTATCTGAGCTCTAGGCTAATCCTCATCAAGGGCAGATAATCAATACAAAAATAGACTTTGAATGGCATGGAGAAGGGATACACATAAGGAAGAGACTTCTTTATTATGAGGAATACGTCTATAGATGTCAACTTCTTTATTATGAAGAACACGTCTATGGATGTCAACTTCTTTATTATGAGTAACACGTCTATGGATGTCAACTTCTTTATTATGAGGAACACGTCTATGGATGTCAACTTCTTTATTATGAAGAACACGTCTATGGGTGTCAACTTCTCTATTATGAGTAACACGTCTATGGATGTCAACTTCTTTATTATGAGGAACACGTCTATGGATGTCAACTTCTTTATTATGAGTAACACGTCTATGGATGTCAACTTCTTTATTATGAGGAACACGTCTATGGATGTCAACTTCTTTATTATGAGTAACACGTCTGTGGATGTCAACTTCTTTATTATGAGGAACACGTCTATGGATGTCAACTTCTTTATTATGAGTAACACGTCTATGGATGTAAACTTCTTAATTATGAAGAACACGTTTATGGATGTCAACTTCTTTATTATGGGGAATAAGTATGTGGATGTCATCTTCTTTATTATGAGGAACACGTTTATGGATGTCAACTTCTTAATTATGAAGAACACGTCTATGGATGTCAACTTCTTTATAATGAAGAACACGTCTATGGATGTCAACTTCTTTATTATGAGTAACACGTCTATAGATGTCAACTTCTTTATTATGAGGAACACGTTTATGGATGTCAACTTCTTTATTATGAGGAACACGTCTATGGATGTCAACTTCTCTATTATGAGGAACACGTCTATGGATGTCAACTTCTTAATTATGAGGAACACGTCTATGGATGTCAACTTCTGTATTATGAGAACACATGTTTCTCATAATAAAGTAGTTGACATCCATAAAAGTCTCTTCCTTTATCCACAAAATGTTTCGTAACTCGTGTAAAATGTGTAAGTGAGATTTGCAGACAGATGTCATTGTATTGTTCCCTGTATTATTGCGAGTGGTTCAAGTATCCTAGCTCCTCTCAGTGTGTTCGCAAACCGTTGTTTAAACCGTTGTGACAAGAGTGTAGTTTTATGAAGTGGTACAGCTGCGTGGATCCCAGGAATTGATTATACAGACATGCTGCGTCTTTTTGTGTACCTCAAGGGTCTGGATCTAATGAGATCCAAAAATCTAAAAACATTTACCCATGTCATAGTAAATATTATCATCAAATCTCAGTGGTGTAAGATAGCCTTTCCGACCACTGAGTGACTGATTATGGTTATTTAGGGCGTCTTTATCCAAGTTCCAGGAATATCACTCCAGAAATGGGTTTCACATATTGTAACCACATGGGGGATAGAACCCGACTTCCGGCATGACATTGGAACAACTTAACCAGTAGGCTCCCTGCTCACTCCGACCAGTTACACCCATCATAAACACACACACACACATATGAGTGAATAGCTACCAGAAAACAATTAAATATATGGTACCTTCCACAGCAAATCCTTTTTGGCACCAATACGTCAAATATTTATGTCTAACATAAAGATTTTTGAAAACATTACTGAGGTCTTTAATACCTTGGGTGCTGAGCCTCAAAACCATCGTTAATATCAAAATTGTAAATACAAACCTAAATCTTCAACCAAAATTCGTAATCTGGTATGACGCTTGTGTCCATTTCAAAAGGATGCACGCCGATGCATCTTATGGCTTCACACATCATTTTAGTTGACTGGGCGGATTGTAACAGCATCACTACGAATAACTTTATGACTGTCTGTTTCTGATGTTGTAGATCACAACGGCCGATAATTGTATATCTCACAGCCAGTACCATTAAGATACGTCCGTATACTTGGAACGGTGCCATATACGTTGTCGAAATGTGGTTAAGCTGAACAAATTAAGCGATAAATCGTAGCTGCAGACACACGAGTAGGAGATGAACATCTCTTTGTATGCAGACACACACCCCAAAGTTCTGTATCTTTCATCACTTCGGAGGAAATTTGCATATTTTCTGTTTTGGAACACCTCTGGCATAGACAGCGAGAAATAGAGATCGCTTGCAGATTTCCTAGGTGTTTTGTGGCTAAGAATAGTTTTATAAACCCCCAGGGTCTGACGTGGAAGAAACCAAGAGGAAGGGTAGAACCGAGATTTTAGACAATTTCCATTCTCACTGTTTCCTCATACAGCAAATGGAAGGTTAATTTAATAATCTGCTTCTAACGCCTGTTCAGCGAGGAATCTCCCTTAATTGAAAGAAAAAGCCTCTAAACAAATGAGCAAATCATGGGATTGATCCATACTTGGTGCCAAACTGCTGAAGCTTGTGCTTGAACGGGGCTTGCCGTTAGCAGAGACCAGATCTGTTGCTGGGGATGAAATGGGACACGCATCAACACTGAGTTGAATCCAAAGGGGGATATTTCATCTCTCCTCCTTGCTTTCCGCTCGGGAGTTTACAGAGGGGTGAGTACTGTCTATGTTGCCTCACTAGAGCGGAGTTACTCGTGTTGATTGATGACATGTCGTCCTCCAGTGCACGCTGTGCTATTATTGTCCTCAAACGAATAGTCGAGCATGCAGTGATCTTGAAATAGTGTTCCCGGTTAGGTGAAGAATGTGCACTCTGTCTCGAGAAATTGTAGGGTTTGCTGAACTGTATTTATTAAATGTCTTGTTGAGTGTGAAGAGTTGTATATTGGTATTGCTGTTATTTCGTCGTTCTCGATGTTTCTCTTTGACAGTGATACTTGAATAAGCGTTAACATCTAGTCACAGAAGTTAATGATGTACCTGTAAATGTATATGTCACTGTTAGAGCTCAACGTGTACTCCTCTTTATAATTAATCATATACCGCAACTGTATTTCGTTTTGAAGAAAAGTATCGTCTCAGAAGGGAAGAGGCAACATGTTTAACAAACTGAGCTGCTAGTAACCCAAGTCTTTCTTAAAACCAAATAGTTCAGTGATATGTTTGAATCATTTACTGGCGTGCTTTCACTGAAGATATTTAAGTGTTCGCGAAATAGTGTACTGCACATGTAAAAGAATTATTCTGTTTCTCATGGTAAACAAGCCAAAATAGGATCATAAAATGCCTGTAATGTCTGTTTAGATCTCAGAACATGATTATATTCATGCGGAAAGAATTGCCTTTTCTTTGAATGAATGTTAGTGTAAGGGACACGTCTGACTCGATCCTGTCTTCTAACTCTCTGTTCAACTCTTAAGATGTCAGAAAATTCACCAAATGAATACAGCAATGAAAAGGATCGATACTTTCAGGAAACTTTAAAATCGAAAAATGCGTCAGCTAAATTAACGTTGATGCTTTCATACGCCAAGCATTAGACATGTTTATCAAATATGAACGGTGTTGTTACCGTTATTCACGAAATAACGGTAGTTATGAGGAATTGAGTGGTTCAATGAGCTTCCAGTAATATTACTGCAGTAACTGTTCCATCATCTGCATATGGTAACATCTGGAATACGCTTATATCAAAGGAATTAAAGTCAGTTGTCGTTTTAAAGCAATTATGCAATGGTTAAGATTCAAAGAGGCAAGACTTCGACCAACTGAAAAGATGACGATAAAGAAAGGTGACGTTCATATTATTTGAAATAAACATCCATCCAATCTCAAACGTACCGAAGTTCGTTACAATCATATTGTTAGATCCATTTCTTCTAAATCCTCAGTTAATTTTAGTCTGAAACATGTTTGCGTAAAACACATCTAATCAAGAGGCTGTGGGAAATGTCATGTGTTGAATTAAAACGAATTATGCATTTCTTAATAGAAACAATGCACATTGAACTGACGCCTTTGCTGTGATTAACTCAGCATAATACATGTAATTCCTTACGCAAGTGTCAACGTTTGACTTGAGATTTATGCAAGACCTTAGCGTGTCTCTTCCAGACATCAAGGTATGTTTCCTCCATAGTCTAAGATAAGAACTATTAATCGTTGTGTGTGGAGGTGACATATCATTTTCTACTGTTCATTGAGAACCATATGCCCTGACGAAACCATTTTATCTTGATGGGGTCTATAAACGGTTAACAAGCAAGTAGAACAAAAAATATATGGAAATATGGAGATACATATGAGCTAGAGTCAAGTGTGTGAACCATATGCTTGTGGCTCGTATGTTTGAATCGATATGCATATAATACTTTCGGGTAAAACAACGAAAACCATTATGTGGAAATCAAATAGTCCATCGGGACATTTGAAAACACCTGGTATCATGTCTATTTGATTGTGATTTATAACCGCATGCTCATGATGTAGTCGGAATCGGAAAATCGACTCTCTTTTTAGCAGAATACTGATAGTTTTTTTATGAATACAAAATTGTTTTATCTCATTTGTTTACACTGGTGTTGAAAATATTAAGACATTGACTGTTCAATCGATGCAACACTTTGCGCTTTGACTATCAATATAAGAAACACTTTCCTATACAATGTTTCATTGCAGGAAGACACAAAATCGTACACAGTCTTGTTAGAAACTGATATAAATTGCACTACGTCGCAATAGATCACATCATATTGACGTTATAATGCAAAAATAGGAACAATTACCATTTCTGCCAGTGTTTGTGTCAATGGGTGCCAAACTGACGGTTGAACGCAGTCAGATAACTAAAACCAATCGATGCAAATTGTTTGCTGATCGCTGTCAGTAGGACTGAGTCGGGATCATTGATGATAACATGTTGGTTTAATGGTAATGCGAATCTGCTCTCTGCTGTTGTGGGCCGATTGAAATGGAAATGCAGAGTTGGGGCAAGTGGGTTGTAATTTAGTTATCAAATAGCCTTTAGTTTATGACTTCTTAATGCTTGTTTGGCATACCGTATATAGGTCACTATAAGCAGGACATGTTGGGTAACGTGTTTAAACGTTTTAGTTGGAACTAAGTCTCCGAAATCATGAACCCAATACAAAACGAAACATGCAAAATCATACAAAAACATCAAACTCAAATAATAGTAATATACGTAATTATGAGAATGGGTCACAACAATTGTTTATCTGTAAGATAGATCGATATATCTTGTTTGAGGAAAACGTTATATGATGAAAAATGTATATGCATATGGAGGTAAACATTGTGATCCATTGTCCGTTGCATATTTTATCTTTGAAAGAAAAGTTTGCTTTTTTAAACTATTATTACTTGATTATTCAACACACGTCATCTTTCGGAGGAACTGCTTCAGCGTCCATTAATCACGCTTTTGTAACCTACGTCATCTGTGGCAGGAACGTCATCTCGTTCTGAAAGCACATCAAAAGCATAACTTCGCTTCATTACCAGACAAACTTTGACACATATTGGTAGTTTCCAATACTGGAACCGAAATAGGATCACTTAATTCATCCACAGCAAATCTTCAACAATAAGATGAACTCAGTATGCAGCAAGGACTGCCTGTTAATGTTGATCCGAGAGACACTGACATTCTGACTACGTTGATAATGTAATGAAATTCAGTCTCCCGCCGACTGAACATCAAATAAAAAATGTAATAAAACAACATTGCAGTGAAATCGAAAGCTTAGCGAGATCTCACCTAATTCATTTTACATGTTTCCGTCAGAATTTTTAAGTCCTTCATTTTAAGTTGCAAATTAATTTTCTCAAAGCAGGCTTGGAACAAAGCGATAAAAACCTTTGATTGGAAACTCTAAGAATTGGAATATAGTTCATTTGAAACATGTTTATAATGTATTATTCAATGAATGGTGTGTGTTTTTAAATGAGAGGAATTTTACGTAAAGGTTTGAAACATGGATACAAGTATTTAGTTGCAGCTAATGTTGTTCTCTGTGTGAACTTGAACTCTCCTCTCTATGACCTTGACATGTTAGCTGGACACAGAGCTGTCCTGTCTGTTATCCGTTCCTGTTTTCTCATTATCCTGGTTCTGTATTCACTTTCAAAGACTCGGTGATATTCCGTTCCCCTCCGCTTTTTGATCTCTCTTTGTTATAGTGTTGACAATGACCGTGTTGACTATCCCCCACAATGACCTCTCTATAACCTTGTTCTGTTCTCTCTTTGACATTGGAGTGTTGTTTATATGACATTACGTTAGCCTCGTGTTGTTTTACTACAACATGACCAATTATAGTTTAAATGTAATTGGGGTAAATGTTAATTGTCTAAACCAGGTTTCAACTCAATTACGAGGAGTTAAGTTAAGGATTATACGACTTCCCACGATCATTGACCTCTGCATGGTTTCATCCGCGTGCTCATAACAGCCGTGGATCATGTATTTGTAGTTTAAGAGCACCCGCATAAAAATAATTAATTAGTTATAATTCTAGCAAGCACTTGTGTCATTGTCCGTGGAGGTGATTAATATGGTTTAAATGCCTCCATCTCAGAGACTACAAACATCTAAAGGACACATGTCAACAGTTGTGATCGTTAAAGCTTTAATAAATAGTATTATGGTCGACATGTGGAAGACCTTTCAAAATTTGACGCAACAGTGAATAAATATATACCTCATTCAATTCTCTGTTGAGTTGTACCCTCTTTACATGTCATTTAGAACGTCGCATCTAATGCAAAAAGAAGTTGTCTATCCATGAAAAAGTGTTCCTCTTGAGTTGTACCGTACGTTACCGTGTGTTTTCAGGAGGACCGTCGACAAGCGTTTCCATGTGTATATGACAGGAGTCACTGATTGGGTAGCATACGCTCACCTATTCGCGAACATCTCGTGTCATCACTTTTTAATAGTGATTAATTAACACTTGATCATGATATAGTCAGAATCGTACAACCGTGTGTGCTTTTATTGGATGTTTTATTTGGGATTTTGTAACTTTTATTGGAAAATCAAAAAGCCTTCATATGGCAAATGATTGAAAATGGCTATACCCCATGATTCTGGAATTTGTGCTTGAACTACCATATCTTTTCACACAAAGCGATCAAAACGCTTTGCCTGGTGTAATTATATTTCATAGCAGAGAAGCTGAAATGAAATATGACTGGGATATGCGACTTGACACATGTGATAGAGTGGCAATGCTGTGTCCAAATGCAGATTTATGTGGCCATTATGCCCATACATTCCAACCAGTGTAATCATTAAAGCAGCTCATAAAAGGAAGCTCTGCGTTGTGAACAAAATCTGTTTTAACGATAACATTGCATAATAGGAATGATATTGAATTTAATTAAACGTTCCTTTCTTGAATGCTTCAAGTGATTATGTAATCCTGTTGCGTAATACGATCGCACATCGCACGATATTGAGGGTAACACGGGTTCACTGACAGTACAGCGTGGTGATTGAGAGAACACGTATACCACAAGGAGAGAAAATGAGTCCAGGGAGAGAACACAATGTCATGGCGAGAACAACTCAAGGTCATGCAGCACAAGGTCATGGAGAGCATACATGGTTACTGGGAGAAGAGCATTAG